TCAACCCGGCCACGTACAAGATTTGCAAGCACCCCATCGCCATCTCTGGCGTGACTGGCGCGTCCGTCTTCCCCGACGACAACCAAGTCGTCGTCATCCACACGACTGGTGGCAAAGACGGCGACCTTGTCTTTGACATGACGACTCGCGGACCCAAGGCCGGCGAGCTCTTGATCAAGCTCCAAGACATGGTGCGAAAGCACCACAAGAAGGAAATTAACATCAAGGTGGCTTCGCAGATTGACTTTTCTCAAGGTGGCAAGGCCAAGCAACTCACCGTCGGTGGTCCCGACCCAAAGGCGCACACGCACACCTTCAAGGCCAACGGCAAGACTGGCGTTGCCTTCCACACCCCTGGTGCTGCTCCTCCGTCGTAAAATTTCAAAACCACACAAAGCATGATACTGTGGGAAAAAAAAATTGTTGTTGTTGTTGTTGTTGTTGTTGTTGTTGTGATTGTTTTCTTGCTTGTTTCTGTTTCATTTTTTGTTTGGTGTCTTGTCTTGATTGTGTCTTTGAAGACAAATTGTTCAAGCAATGTTGAATGTCTTTATTGTTGTGAGGTGTGATTGTGTATTTCAGGGGAAAATTGCCAGTTTGTGAAGTGAGTGTTAATAGAAGGCAACGGAAGTCGTTTATCCGCTCTCGCGAGGAGCGTTGCGACTGTGGATTTGCCTTTGTTTTCTCAGCCACTTCTCGTTCGCATGTCTGAATTCTGAGAAACGAGGCAGTTCTCATTTTTTGTTGTTTGTTTGTTGTTTGACTCTTCCATTCTAACTCAATCTCCCTTCTTCGTACAACTCGATCGTATTGCCATTACTTCGCTCACTATCACTACAAGTCACTCGTTCCAAGGAATCCCATTGCCGATGTCCCGCCTTGTCGCTGCGTCCGAGCTGACTGGCGACGATTCGCACTGGTCGCATCCGGGTTCTCCGACGCCAATCACCGCCGCCGCTGCAGGTCTGCCCAGCCACCCTCCGCCACACCCGCACTCTCACAGCTCGCCATTCAGACCCCCGTCAAGCCACTCCGGGCATCCTGATACCGGTCTCTCCGACGCGGAACCTCGCGTTGCTGCAGCCGACTCCAATCACACGACGGATCATGCGGTTGGCCTTTTTAGTCCGCACCAGCACCACCAGCACCACCAGCACCACCACCGAGGCGCCCCAAGCAGCAACCAGACGAGTAGCCAAGCTCAAGCTGACTGGGCGAACGGCCACCACCGCCGTTTATCAAGCGAGGCCGGTCGAGGGTACGCGGACAACAAGCACTCCTCCAGCAGGCCGCCGACGCAACCGGGCAATCTGCACCTGGGAACATACATTGACGATGTGCTGGAGGAAGCCAAGCCATTCGGGCCATTCCAGCGCAGAATGCTGCTCAAAGCAATGCTCGGCTCGCTGTCCGCCGGAAGTCATGTCATCTCGATCATTCTGGTGCAAAACACGATTGTCGACGAGCTCAATCTGTCGAGCGTGCTCAAGGCCGTCCTGGTCGCGGCCACATTTGCAGGGTGGCTGGTTGGCGCCTTCTTTTGGGGATTCATCATTGACAAGTATGGACGTCGACCGGGACTCCTTGCATCGCTGGCAGGAGTCACCATTCTCGGTGCGGCGCTGTCTGCTTCGCAAGATTTCCCGACGCTCATCTCGCTCAGAGTCCTGACCGGCGCACAAATCGGTGGAACAATGCTCTGCTCGTTCACGCTGCTATCCGAGTACATTGCTCCGAGCAAACGGGGTATCGTCAGCACGCTATGGCAGACGGCATTCGGCATTGGCATCATGCTGATGGCGCTCGGAGGGTACATTGCCGTCCAAGTGCTCGAGGCGTCCTGGCACTGGGTGTTGGCCATCGCGTGCATTCCGAGTCTCCTCGCCGTTGCCGTCTTGTACTTTGTACTGCCCGAGTCTCCTCGCTACCTGCTTGTCCAAAAGCGGTACGACGACCTGACGGATTGTTTGCAAACTGTCGTGGATTGCAATGGCGTGGAAATGATTGTCGTGTTGCCGCTGCACGATCCCGACGCCGCCTTCTTCCCAGATCCACGCACTGTGCACAGCATCGAGCATCACACCTACCACGCGATTTCTCCCTCCTCCACTGTTGTTGCAGTCAAGTCGGAAGACGCCGAGAACGAGACTGGCAACGTCAACGGGCGTTCGAGCGATTCAGCAACGTCCTCGCCAAGCACGACCCACACCTTGTCGCGGCACGGCAGCAATCGCTCCACGCAAGACATTGTGGTGGTCTCCCCGTCCGAAATTTCCTACAAGGAGCAGCACTCCACGGATGATCAAGTGCTGCTCCCCCACCACGGTCACGGCCCTGCAAAAGGGCCTGTGCTGAGTGATCTCGTCGCCCCTGCACTTCGGCGAAGCACGCTGGTTCTTGGGTTTGTGTGGTTTACCAACAGTCTGGTTTACTACGGCTTGACGTTTCTCGCCGCCGACCTCAGCTCGAACGTTTTCTTCAACACTTTTCTGTCTGGCCTAGTGGAGGTGAGTGTCATTAGCGATGCCATCGGCATAGGATTATTGTTTGGGACACGAGTGTCTCGTTTTTTTTTTTTTTGTGTGTGTTTTGACTTTCATGGCTTGCGCTTGCTAGATTCCTGGTTACTTGGTGGCCGTGCTCCTGGTGGATCGCATCGGTCGGAAAAAGAGCTTGAATCTCTTTATGCTGATCGCTGGATGCGCGACGGCCACCATGATTGCGCCGCTCGAGACACTGGAAATACTGTGGTGGCGTGCGTCGGCAAGCTCTGCATCAGTGCAGCATTCGCTCTGACGTACACCTACTCTTCAGAGCTATTTCCCACCTCTGTGCGCGGCATCGGCATGG